TGTGTCTTTAGTGGAAGATAATTTCTGAGTCAGCTTAATGGAGGCTGTGCTTTAATATGATAGCTCCAGTGGCCATATGTAGAATAAATTGTTTCTAGGAATACTTTATAATCATTTCACTATCCTGATATAACCTCATTGATTCAACTTTTGGGACAGGACTTTGTTCAGAATATATTTTGAAAGTTGTTTAATGAGAAAGCTGATATATTGTACAATTGGCATATAGAGTTTCAATTCTTTATAATAGTTAGAGACAGAATATTATTTTGCTTGTGCCTAAAATTTCTATTATAAGTCAAGCAAGGAGGACATGAAGACAAATGTGACCTGGCTTGATGTCTACATAAATTAACTATTTTACTTTTGATGTTGAATAACATACAAGTCACCCCTGATCACCATGACACCCACTCTCAAAAGAGCTATGGACATTGTCGGTCCCACCTCAAAAACAAGCAGTGTTTGCAAAAGAGAGCCAATGGCCTCTTGTATTAATGACATACTGATCACAGGAAGAAAACATTTTTAAATAAAATTTTGTGTTCACATTATAAAGGAAAGAAATTCCCATTACAAAAATAGAAAGCTGGAATCATTACATATGAAAACCCTTGTCCCACTACTCCACTTCCCCTGTTCAACCTGTCAGTTTGTCTGTAATGTCACCCTCTACTTATGCCATTCCTAAAAATGACTTGTTCAAAAACTGTGTTACCTTCCAGACTTAGCTCCAGTACTAAGACTTTCATAACAATGTACCATTTGCAAGAGGAAACGAATCAGAGATAGCAGAGCAATCAGGAAGCCATTGCAATGGCCCATGAAAGATAATGAAGCCCGATTTAGGTAGTAGGCACGTGGCGGGAAGGAAGGGTTTCAGAGACCTTCCAGAAGTCGCTCTAGTCAGAGAAGGGGATAAGGGGTGAGAAGAATGCATGACTATTTCCACAGTCCACATAAAGCAACATACATAAAAAAGCCATAATATATAAACAAGCTCTTCTTTTTAAATTAGTATTGGTTCAGGAGTCTTAACTCACCGACAAATGCCTGCCCAGGCTGTCTGAGCCTCTGTTGTTGCATTTTCTAAGTTACTGTTAAGCCTAGCCAACAAGCTCCTCATACCAGCCCTGGATCTGAACTTGACCCTGGGATTCCTGCCGGCCCCTAATGAATGACGTTCCCTTCATGCTCTGATGCCTTCAAGTCTGATCCCATTTCCTTGATTTTCCTCAGTTAAAAATGCTGAGCTACTTGTCTAAAAGAAGGGCATTATTAAGACCGAGGTGTGCTTTCAGGGATGTGTAGCATAAGCCCCTGTAGAGGCAAAGATGCACTGTGTCTGAGTAACGTTCTTTCCGTTCTGAATACCGCCCTGCAAGGCAGTGTGTATAAGTTTCTGTTAATGCGAAAAGGGAACATTCGGGCACCTTTTGTGTCCTGCTGATGTGTAGAGCTAGCTATTTTTAATTTTTATTCTTCTCTCTTTTTCTGTGCTTGTGATTTTAAAGGTGCCAGACTGACTGCCCTCGAGCCCCGTGTCCCGATTTCTCCCAAGCATAGGAAAAATCCGGGAGGCAGCAGAGCTGGTCATGTCCGGGTCCAGCATATTAGCCTGACCCACTCGGAAGAATATTCTCCTACATATAAAGGAGAAGATTGTTCCCTGTGAATACAGTCCATCTGCTTTCATTGCTGAGAAGACAAAGCCTGGTTGTGCCAGCACCAAATCACGGCAGGACTTTGCACCCAGGAAGCCCGCCACTCATCCCGTCTTGGGAAAAACTAAGATATTTTATTTTTCTTCTTTCATCCCCACCTGTCAAAATGCCATCCTTGAAGGTTGGGCTCACATACCTCTTTCTCCACAAAACTCTTCCTGAGCCTTCTCTGATGTGATTTTTCCTTGCACATTTTCATTGCACTTTCTCATGTGACACTTTGTCATGTGATTGTGGGATGTATATAGTCTCATAATGATGGTAAAAGGCCCTGATGTTGTCTAATCCATTTCTGGATGTCATCCAGAAGCAGAATATAGTGCTCGGCAAAGAGTAGAAACCTGGAGGATGCCTGTTGAATAGAATGAGAAACCCAGCGCTTATCTTTTCAGCCTGACCTTTAGGGCTCTGCTCTGATCTTCCCGTCTAATCAGTGATTGAAATCTCTCCCCAGTCCTCATGGGTAGCTCTCACACTCTCCATCAGCCATGTAGGCTCAGGCTCTGAGATTCCAGATATTACCTGTGAGCTGCCATGGTCTGGATCACAAGTGCTGCTTCTACCTGCCTTATAGACCAACATGGCTCAACGGGCAAGAGCATTTGGTCAAAACAATGTTTTTCCCAAAATGTGGTCCACTATCATGGTAGTCCTGGTGGACTATCAAGGAGTCCAGTTGTGTGTCTAGAAAGGGAAAGAGTAATAATTAAAATTTCTTGACCTGCATTTAACAAATTTGAAATTTGTGAAGTTTGAAATTTGAAAAAATGTTCACAGGAATCCGACGTACTCTTAATAATCGTCACATTCTTAAAGATGGCACATGTGCCACAAAGCCTGTCTGTTGAATGGTGCTGGTTAATCAATATTCAGTAACAGTGCCATTCTGCTCAGAGTATTTTCATGTCACATTAGTCTGTATTTTTTCTGCTGCTGCTAAACCTACATTTTTCATTATTACTATTGTATTACATTATTTCTTCAGTTCAGCAAAAATAGATCAGTGATTTGAATATGATTCAGTGGAGGTGGAAAAAAATAGTAATAAAGATAATACCAAAAATACTACTTCAGATTAACATTACAAATGTAAATTTTAGTGAACAGGATTCCACTATAAATATTGGAAGTGAATCTGTATGTATATGCCTGGATGAGGAATGTGATGATTTTTGCACAGGCAGTTAAAAGAGAAAAGTTTGAATACTAAGTATGATGCTGACTCTAAAAATTAGACTTTATGGGTTGGTGACCCATTTACCTGTAATCCCCAATATGTCTATAATGAAATGTTGTCAGATAGTGGCATGAAACTCTCAGAATTTTAGCATCATTTTCAAACATAGCACAGTGAACTTTCAAGTAAACCCATTAAGTTTTTTTCTGAATAATCACAAAAATAGTGACATATGAAATAACCCTATTTTGTTACTAAGAGCAATGAACATCCAAAATGTTAAAGGCATCTTTCTAAGGTTACACATCTTATAATAAGAACAGGTTACAAGTTAACTCTTGGATAGAAGTTTGCCAATCCAGCCAGAACATTTATTACAAATATTATACAAAAGTTTTTATCAAATGTCAAGGATATGATATCAAGACTTCACAATATGTCAGTTATAGTGGAGGCAACTTGGTTTTCAAGAATTTAATTCCTTTTCCAGCACTTGATATTTCTTATTCCTTAGGGGCAAAAAATGATGGGTTATACTGTAAAGACATTCAAATCCTTCAATATAAAGAAATTCTTTCCAGGGACAAATGCAAGCAGAGAGGATTAGAAATCATATTTGCCTCTTTTCTCTCCAGTTGAAACATTTAGCCTTCCTATATTTAGGTGTGAAATGGTTGTCGGTCCAATGTAATGAAGTGCTGAAAGCAATCTTCAGTGAAAAATCTCTCTATAATGTCAGGCCTGTGATCAATCCTGGTGCATAGAACTAGGCAGAGGCAAGATCGCATAACGGTTAAGAGCATAGACACTGAAACTAGACTGCTTGCGTTTAAAGTTAGTTAATCATTTTTGTGACTCAGTTTCCTTATCTGTAAAACAGAGATAATAACAGTACCTATCACATAGGTTGTTGTGAATATGATATGAGTTAATATATGTAAAGCACCAAGAAAATGCCTGACACGTAGGAAGCACTAGGTTTGCTATAGTGTATCTGTAAAAGCCTAGAGATTCTTGCTGACATTCTCAGTGACCCATAATTACTTGTTAAGCCTTTTTTTTACCTTAGTAGAAATAAAGAATAAGAAGGGAAACCAGACGTGGATCTGACCTCTGGCTCAAGATCCCCCTGACGGAGCCACACATAAATACAGATTGCAAACTGCACGATGCCTCTCACTGACATAAATATTTTTTTCTTAAATTATGTTTTATTGTTATTATTTAAAACTTAATGTGATTTTTTCAAAAGCTAAACCTGATGTCCATATGTGGTCCAGATGCCTGACGAATCAGTTCAAGAATACTGAGTGTTTTCAGAACACAGGGCCATGAGGGATTCAAAGCCCTACAGTATGTGGAACTGTTGCAGGATTTAGCAATGTCCAAACTAAGGACGGACTTGGGGGCAATGCTAGCTGAATTGCAACATTTTAAAGAGTCTCAACTGTAAGAGCGGAGACTTGTTGCATAAATCCCCAGAACACAGAACTAGAGCTATTTGGTAGCATTTAGAGTAAGGAAGCCTTCCAGCTCAATATGAGACAGAACTTTCTAGCAGCCAGGGCTGTCTGGAGATATAAAAGGGACTACTTTTTGATCTGCCCATCACTGAGAGCTAGATGCACAGGCTTATGACTGGGGCTTTTGTGAAAGCCGTTGAAGTCTAAGTTTGGACCCCTTTTCCTCACAGTCTAATTGTACACATGGACTCTCCAAGGAGCAAGGCTTTCCTGAACGATGCCTTCCTCGCCTCCCTTCCTCAGCCATCTTCCTCTCAGGCTTCCAAGTGAGAATAATAGGCAGAGCACTGGCCTCGATGTCAGGTGACTTGCGTTCTACTCTGTCACTTTCTGTGGAATCTTAGGCATTGATGGTCAACTCCTCAACTGACTCAGGTAGAATCCCCATCATGGCGGCCTTGCACGGGATAGTGATGGCTGTCCTGGTGATCTTTCTTGTGGTGATGATGGCGATAGTGGTGTCTTACTGCTGATGCTGACATTTCAAATCTGCTGCCTTCCCCTCATTGGCTCCCATAGCAGGACTGAAAGTGTTCCTCCGTGTATGCTTAACAGTCAATCCCTTTTATCTTGCAGGCCGCTGTGCTCGCTGTGGGGAAAATGTAGTCGGGGAAGGAACCGGATGCACCGCCATGGATCAGGTCTTCCACGTGGATTGCTTTACCTGCATCGTCTGCAACAACAAGCTCCGAGGGCAGCCCTTCTATGCGGTGGAGAAGAAAGCCTACTGTGAGCCCTGCTACATTGTAAGTTCAGATTTGATCCTTAGGTGTTTCGCAAAGATATCTTCTTTGGTGTTTCGCAAAGATATCTTCTTTGGCAAAGTGCCAATCACTCCAGATAGAATGTAGACGTCAGATCTTTACTTCACCTCAGGCTTCAAAATATGTGTGTGTGAATCGGCACACCTCGTTGTTTTTGCATGTGTTCATATGAAGTCAGAAAGGTAGGTTGGGCTGAGGCTGCCATTCAATTAGTTGCCCGCTGGGAAGACCATCACCCTGTGAATTTCAAGCATGTCTGTGTGAGCTAGCTTGTTACCCCTGCAGCATCAGGTGGTCTCTCAAATGGCAGGGTCTCACCTCTTGTTATTGGGTCGCACCCTGCATTTGAAGTTATGAGTATTTGTAAAGAAACATTGCAGGGTCTCTGGACTTGTCAGTCCTCCTTCAAACCCCTGGGCCCTTTGCATCAGCTCTTTTCTACCCAGAATGTTTCTTACCTATTATTCCTACCAGGTTTTCAATGATGTATATGGGGAAACCCTTCGTTATAGAGCACCTTAAAGGGAAATGAATATTAATGCTGACTGAGCTAATAATTGTTTCACTTTTTTAAAGAACATAACAACTGTATTTTAATCACACCACTGAGTAACTAAAAAAGCTCATGTTCACTTTTTTTTTAACTTTGTGCCAATCTATTTAAAGCCATACATTAAGCTATCTTCTGATAGAGCAATTTAATGAATGAACATAAGCTATTTTTTATTCTAAAGTAAATTATCTTGATACCCTTCTGCATGATTTCAATGTGTCTGTTTAACACATGTTAATGGAAAAAGTAGTGCTTTTTTTGCAAACCCACAAAAGAGCCATGGTTATGGCCCTCAGTGTTCAGGCGTTGCAACATAAAAGAAGCTTTGGGTGCAAGATATTGGGAGTTCTACATGGCTTTGCAGATCCCCAAGTTTCAAGTTTATTGCAGAAGTTTCTGGCCTTGTTGGCATCTTCCCATAACCTGACAGCTCTAATTCAGTGCAGCCCTAGAGTCTGTAGCAGAGATCTGAAAGTTCTTCAAGATTAAAATCTTTCAGGATTTAATACTGTTTTGCATTTCTTCAGTTCACTTTTGTTTAATTTTCCTCCCCAAAGGCAACTTACACACATATAGCATCATTGTCATGCCACAAAATGCTGGAGCTGGGGAAAACAACAAACAAAAAAAAACAACTTAAAAGATCATTTATCTAACTTCTCTCTTTAGAAATGAGAACACAGAGATGCAAAGAGGAAGAAAGTGACTTTCATCTTCCGTCGTTAGTGTCAGAGCCAGGGCTGTATTCAGGTGTTGGCAGTCCTCGTCCCATGTTCTGTGCAAACACCACACGGTTTTAGTTTGTCCAGGACATAACCACAAACACGGTAACATCCTGTTGATCTGGAAGGAGTAATTACATAAGAGGGAAAGTCTAGTGACCAAAAGCTTACTTCTGTAATTAAAAAGAGTATTTCAGATATCACCCTTTGAAAGTTCCATTGAAAAGAGAGCATTACAAACTTCCCTGGCTTTGTAAAAGACTGCCATTCACAATGACATTCACTCAGGGCCGCCACTATGGAAGTATTCGCTGCAGCGAGTCCTGCGACAGTGATGTCCGCAGAGCCTATAGCAGCACCTAGTGCTATTTGTCCTTCTACTGTGTGACCACAGATTGCTGAGTTTCTATGTAGCTCTTGTGTCTATTTTCCATCCTCCCTTTGACTATGTTGTCAATTCTTGCTACTTTAATGATGCTCCTGTAGTAGACTCCTTCCGTTCTTTTTTTATCCCTTATGAGCTAGGAATCATATGAACAATATTGGGAAACAATATAACACTGTATGAAGAACACGGGTTTGAATTTGGCTCCATGACTCAATGCTTTGTCTCCTGTGGAGAGTTGCTTGGTATTTCTAAGCTTCAGCTTTCTCCTCTACATACCTGGGATGATTTCAGGATTTTCCCCAAAGGCTTATGAAGATGAAAGGACGCAATCCTTGTAAAGCACATTTGGCTTGCTCAAGGAATGGTAGTGGATGGAATGAATGCAATTCCGAGATAAATTTTGGTAAGCTTTCTGGCCTATTTAGGGTTTCTGAATATAAGATCCTGACATGTGTAGTGAGATTCATTGGGCTTTAGGAAATTATTTTAACCTGTCAGACATACCACTCTACCATTTTTAAATGCTTTGCCTGCTCTCCTGAGTATGTGATAAGACCAAGGAAAGTCTAATCTGGCTAAATTACGGGTTTCTACAGCGTGTGGGCTCAGGTTTCCATCTCCATTCCAGGCGTAGGAGCTCGGTGATTCTTTCAGCTGCAGCTCCTTCTGCTTTGGCCGCCTGATACTATACTGTGCTTACGACAAGAAACGTTATCTGGGAGATAATCAGCCACATCCATGGAAGACCTGGCTGAACTCAAATAATGAAAATTCTTACCATCCTTTTTTACTTTTCTCCTTCATAAGAACTTTTGATCATGATTTTTTCTTTAATGAGTTCTATCCATGGTGACTCTAAAATGGACTCTAATTCTTATCAGAATTCAGTGAAACTTTACTCAAAGACCCTTGTTCAATGTTGGTTTCAGAATTTTCAGCACAGCTCTCAAATGGATATTTTAGCATTTTAATTTCTTCTGCACTTTCATAAGTCCGATAAGCTGCCACCACACTAGAAATGTAGAGTTTTCATTTGAAGGGATTGGAAAAGCCAGGGGAATAAAATTAAGGAAGAACCTAGGGCTGTGTGTATCTATCTCTCTTGGAACCAAAGCCCTTAGAATGAGCACCTGCAATGTCATCCAGTCAAATTGTCTCTTGTTCCATTGGTGGAAACGGTTGTCTGAAAGACATCCTGTACAAAGCAGACAAACCCAGACCCTGGGCCTCACCCTTGTTTTCTTTCTTAATAGATGGAATCAGAATATTGAAGATAGTGGTTTAATGTTAATTATTTCTGTATAAGGCCCACCCATGTTTGATGCTCTGAGTCCAGGAAGCAGACAAGTCTGATATAAATTTAATTTATTCTTGCCTAAATTGATCAATTTTAAATCATACTTAAACTAAACATTTACATAATTTTGAGGGAAAATATACCAATAACATCTTCGCCTTTGTTTCAATGATTATTTCTATTTTACTGTATTCTCTTAAATCCTTAATCCTTGTGTATACATAGCTGTAATTGAACAAATTTAATTCTGTAAGGCCTTATAACTCTCTTTAATCATTTTACACATGTTTTGTTTTGTGTTTCCTATTGATTGACTTTATAAATATGTATACAGTTTTCCATTGTTAATTATCATTATTTTTAGCTTTGTATCTGTTTAGTTTTATATTATGTTTACATGCTAAATTTTAAAACCATTTGCCAATAGAAAGATATTGGGGGTTTTTTTCCAATCTTTTAGCACGCCTATAAATAACAGGAAAATTTTTTATATTATTTTATTTTTAATTACATTCTTTGCATAAATTATTTGATTTATATTACTAAGTTTCCTGTATGGCAATTTGGAGAACATTTGCTAGATTTCTTTAGAAAGATTTTTCAGTTTACAGAACCACCTGCAATAGTGAGACCATATGTTAAACTATAACCTATCTACTGTTGAAGAAGTGCTTTATGCAATAGTTACTTTAATTTGAATTTGTATAATCATTAGCAAAGTCAGTGAGATAATTTTCTACTTGGTGATAGATCTCTTAAAAGCTTAGTTTGGGTTATTCTTATGGATTTGTATACATGAACAGCTTAAAATTAAGAGCACTAAGCTTCCTTGGGAAATAAATTGCTAGAAATAGAATATATTGGTTCTAGTCCTTGTTTTCCCGGTGTGACCTTGGGTAAGTCGTTTAATTTCTGAGTACCAGTATCCACATTTATTAAAGAGTGATAATAACTTTTTTCCTGTCTTCAAAGGGAAGGAATGAACAAGTGTGATATTTTGTATATCATCAAACCATCTACTAATATAAGGTCTTGATCTGATTAATAGCATTATTGTCATTGGTTTTGCCCTCAGCATAATCTGATACAATTTAGAAGTCCTCTAAGTTTGGAGTAATTTCATAGCTGCAGTTGCTATGGAAATACCAAAATAAATAGATGTCATAGAAGGAAAATGAGGATATATATGAGAAGAGGTTCATGCTTTTCTTACGGACATCTTTATGTTGGTATGAGTATGAAAACCAGCAACAGGGCCTCCCACTTGTGGGTCCTTCTGCCCTTAGTGAGCCAGGTATACCCATCAGTATAGATTTACAAAAGAATTTCTGTGTTCTTCGCATAGCTGAGGAGCCTGGGCCTGCCAACACAGCACATCAGAGAGCCTCAGCAAGTCTGTTTACGAAATGGCAGCCAAGGATCTTCCCCTCAACCTGGGCTCTTACTCAGAGTGGACCAAATCCAACTCCTAACTCTCCCGCCGTGGAAGTTGGTACAGACATTTTTATTAGACTTAAAATCCAAGCGATTAAAAGCCCTCAGGAAATAGGAGGCCAGCTCCACAGGAGACTGAAAACTTTAAGGTTCTTGAATTTGACACATCCGTGGCCAACACACTAGCTTTTTCCTCCCTTATGTCACTAAATGACTAGTTAAAACATTCTAACTTTTCAGCCTACATTAAGAGGTAGATTTTGTACCTCTTGAGGAACATAGTCCTTTTCTATGCTCAGTCCTTTCTTATAAATTGTTTTATAAGCAGTTATGGCCGGGGCTTCATGTGAGTGTTGGGAAAGGAACTAAAGTTTGGATTAATCCTGAAAAATGCACATGAACTTCCCCGCTTTTCTTAATTGCCCACCTCTGCTTTCTTATCTCCAAGGAGCCTCTGTCACACCACCACACACCTATGCACACACATGCATAGGTATTTTCTTTTTGATATTATTACGTCATCATCCCACAAGTACTCTCCCAGGAAGGAGAAAGATGGTTCAAGAAAGAGGAACTATTCTCTTGAGA